ATATGGTTATGTGTATTTCCCATGTTCCTAAGGTTATAATTTCTCTGTGTTAAACATGTCTTATACAAGGGTACTTCAGAAAGTTCATGGAAGGATTTACATTTCCTTTCAATTCTATTTTCTCACAAACTTTTTGAAATATCCTCGTATAGTTTTGAGCCCCAGTGTGTACTGAAAAAAAACAGTAAGAGTGTTGGGGGGTATGTTTGTGCATGTATGTGTGTATTTCCAGAAATCTCCTCTCTCTTAGTCCCAGAGGGAGTATTTTTAAAACCAAAATTCTTGGAAATTATCTTACTTTTCTTTAGTATTTTCTACTAAGGACCATTCAAAGAATACTGGAGTTGTTAAGAAAGTGTGGAGAAATTTCCTTCTTAATCACTGCTGCCAGTTAGTGCTTCAAGTATCCTGAGGCCCAAGGGACTTGCTCAGAGAATAACCAGTTTAGTGATAAAATTAGAGCTACTGCTCATGGCTCCAGAATGTTCAGTCTCTGCTTACGGGATTGCATTACTCTGTCTGTGAAGCTTTGTAAATAGAAAGTATGATATTACTATTTCTGTTTTCCAGTTGGGCTAAATGAAGTGTAGAAGATACACATTGTAAATAGATTTGTGACAGTTTCAATGACAGTCCATAGTGGTATGCCATATGACTCTGTTCTTTATCACTTTAAATTCATGATCACATACCTCAGATAGGCACTCTGAGAAGCAGAGCAATCCTACTATGCTTACCTAGTAAAGTCATTTTCACACCTTCGGCTTGACTAATTCATTTTTCTTCTGTATTCTTCCTCAGATTTCCTGTATATTTTCTATTTCCTGTACTCTGGATAAGTGAGGATAGGCTAGCTTATGCTGTAGTAACAAACAGTCCTCAAATTACAGTGACTTTGCACAACAGTATTTCTTATTCATTTTACATATCATTTGTGGGTTGGAAGAGAGTCACTGTGCATTAAAGAACTCAGGAATCCAAACAGCTACTAGCCGGCCCGGTGGCGCACTGGAGAGTGCGCCGCTTGGGAGCGTGGCGGTGCTCCCGCTGAGGGTTCGGATCCCATATGGAGACCGGTTCCCGCTCACTGGCTGAGTGCGGTGCGGGCGCGACACCGAGGGTTGCGATCCCGTTACCGGTCAGTAAAAAAGACAAAAAGGAAAAAAACCAAAAAACCCCCCAAAAAACCAAACAGCTACTAGCTGGTTACTGTGCCAAAGGGAAAAAGAGTGGTCTGGAGAGTCTTGCACCAGTAATGAAATATTCCAGGCTGGAAGTGACAGTCATTATCTCTCACTGATGGTAGTATCTGCATGTTTCATCCATTATGAGGGGGACATGAGATGTAATTCTACGTTGGACCCAAAAAGCTGGGTGGCAGGAAAGGAACCAGAAATATGTAGCAGACAGCTCTAATGACTAGCACACTTTCTAAGTGAGTGGTTCACTTTATACTTCACTGAGAAAACTGAAGCATTCTTCAGCCACCAAAAAGACCCCAAAAACCAGAAACCCCTGGAACTTACTCATCTGCTCATTATCAAATTTAGCATCCTATTTGAATTTGTATCTTTCCTCTTCCAGCTTATTCTGATATATAGGAAGTATCTTTTCTCCTGTCCAAATGTTTTTGATCACATACCCTTGTCAGTAACAAATTTTGAGCACATACAGTGATGTCCTACTAAATGTTTAACAGCTGGCTCTCTGGGGGAAAAAATCAGCCTTGATTTTTAGTGTTTCTTGATTTCTGTAGTGTAAATACTCCCACCATGGCCAATTTCAAGCATGGTGTTACTGAATGTGCAGTTGGGAAGAGATGTACGCAATAGGCTCTCATGAGCAGATACAAAGTGACTCCAGCACACCACTGTTAGTATAAAGTAGTACTTGTGTCTGTTTTATAATAATACCCATATTAAACATATATAAGTGTGTGTGTAGATATATGCATATATACATATATACATATTTTAGTAGAGCGTGATTTCTTTTTGAGCTTGATTTCTTTTTAGAATAAAAATAAAACAATTCTACTATTCACTCCCTCCCCTCCCCAACTCTAATGGATTACCTTACAAATCCCTGCACCCCTCACTTGGGACACTACTGCTCTCGACACTCAAGGTGATTATGGTGCTCCTCTGATTATTCACCCTCTCTTCTGCATCGTCAGCCTCTTCCTCTTTTATCATTCTTGCGAGTGTACTGCCAAACTCTAGTGTACTCTAGTATCTTCCATTGTTAAAGATTGTTCTTTGATCTAACATTTTGCTTTATGAACACCTCTACTTTTCTAGTCCTTTCATAGCAAAACCACTTAAAGAGACAACCTATACCTGCCTTCTTCACTTCCTCCTCTTTCATTTCATCTTCAGCCTACTCTAATCTGACTTACCATCCTACCACTCTGCTGAAATTGCTCTTGTCACTGTCATCCGTGATTTATTTACATGCTGCCAATTCTAGTGGATCATCCCTGTCCTAATTTCATTTGACCTCTCTGTGGCAGTTGACATAGTTGACTACTTCACCCTTCTTGAAATGTTCTTTTAGCTTCTGTGTCAATACACTCTCCTGGTTTTCTGCTTGGTCTTCTCTGTTGAGCCTTCTTGTGCAACTCAGGAAATAGTTTTGCTCCCCTTTCTGTGTTTGTACTGTTTCCCTAGGTGATCTCATTCATTTCCAGGCTTTCAAAAACCAGCTGTGTGCTGACAACTCCCACGTGAAGTTCCTTTGCCCCACTTTCTCATCTGAGCTCCAGATGTGTATATTTTGTCGCCCCCTTGCTATTTCCACTTAGCTTTCATAGGTGTCTTATTGGCTGCCGCTCCAGAATGGCACTCTTTATTCCTCTCTGTTCTGCTCCCTACTATTTCTGTTTTACCCCAGTTTTCCTTATTTCAAAAAATAGTAATTTATTTATTCTGTTATTAAATCCAGAAATCTGGAAGTCATCTTTAACTTTTTAACTTTCTTCATTCCTCACATCCAATCCACAAGCACATCCTTTTGCTCTACCTATAAAATATGTATTTTATCTGTCCATTTATCTCTGTCTCTACTGTAATCCAGACTATAATCACTTTTCTCCAGAATGGTTATAATAGCACCTAATAGGATTTTCACATTTACATTTGCCTTTTTCCGGCCCATGCCCAATATTATAACTAAGAGTGATTTTTATAAAACATAAATCAAATTATTCTTCTCCCCTTGAAATTCTCCGGTGCACTTAGAGTCAGTTCCACATTCCTTACTGAGACCTCCAAGAATCTGCATGATCCGGCCTCTGCCTTTCTTTTTCCTTATCGCATGTCACTCTGCCTGTGGCTCTTGTGTTCTAGTAAAACTGACCTTTTTTTTTTTGGTCCCTAGAATAGGCTGGTCTCTTTCCTCAGTGCCTTTGCAATTTTGGTCTCTCTTCCTGGGAAGCTCTTTCCCTAGCTTGTCAAGTTCTCTTTTGTCTGGTGCCTTCTTTTCCTGGAGCTCTCAGCTCAAATACTATGTCCTTAGAGAATACTTCCTGCTCTAATGACAGATTTCCTACTGGTTTGTTTCTTTCCTAGTACTTAACACAGTGTGGGATTGCTTTTTCTTATTTATTTACTTGATTTGGTAGAAGGCTCTGTGAGGACAGGGACCTTACCTCATCTGGTATTTGGTGGGTGCACAATAAACATATGTTGAACGAAAAAAAATGTATGGAGGAATCAATGGTATTGCCCTGCTTATCATATAAGTGGTAATTATTGAATGAAAGTATAGAAGGAAGGTATGTCAAAAATGGTGGGCAGGACAGTAATACTGGGAGGACAAGTTAATACGTTGATCATGTCTGACTCCTTCTTTCAGGACTCAGCCTAAAAATAGGAGGGAACAGATCAGATTAAACTTTACAGGGGTAAATGTAAGATCCTATGCTCTGGTTAAAAAAAAAAAAAGTCAGTTGCATTGTATGGAATTGGGGAACTCTGGCTTGACACCAACTTATAGATCAAGTTCTAATGAGCCGAAAGTGGTGTCTGTAAAGCTCATGCAGTCCTAACTGCATCAGTAAACCTATGTATATCTGTATTAGGGGAGGGAATTGTCTTATAGTACTCTCTTCAGTGATACCAGTAGGATTATTACACTTTCTAGAGTCACAGTAGAATAGCTAGCTCATTCACCTATCCATTCATGCATCCATTCATTCAATTCATTTAACATTTACTGAGTACATTCTAGGCACTAGAATTATAGTCATGAACAAAATCGTCATGGCTTTTGTGTTCATGGAACTTAGTGTCTAACTCTCAAAGAGAAGTGAGTTCTTTTTCAGGGAAAATGTTGGAGCAGAAACCAGTTTGTCATATATTGAGAGGCAGTGTAATCTGGTGGTTAAAAACTTATGCTATGGAGCCAGCTGGACTCTGGAGACTGGTGGCTTCAAATTCTAGCTCTGATATTTACCAGCTGTATGGTTGAGCAAGTTTTTAAAATGTCTCTATGCTTCACTAGTCTCATCTATCAACTGGTGATCATAATACTAGTTATAAAACTGAGAAATGAGTTAATGTGTATAAGTAATTTAGAACAGTGCCTGGTACATAGTAAGCACTTAATAAATAGGTGATAAGCAGTTAATTAATAAAATTGTGTTTTCTGGAGGGCCAAAGACTGGAAGAGAGATTGAGGGTAGAGAAAAGTGGTCATATATTAGGCCTGAGATATCAAAGCCCAAATTATTATTATTATTTTATTATCTTGTTTATATTAAAGATTGTTCATAGTTTGAGCTAGAACTTGAAAATTTTGACTGCTGGAGAGTTTGATGACATTTGTTTTATTTAGTTTTCTTTTTTAGGCTAGGGAGTTATGAATCCTGTTTAGAAATGCCACCTGTTGGTTCCCCCGCACCCCTCCCACACCCCACTGCTTATAAAGAAACACAGCTTTGGAAATAATAAAATTATAGCTCTCCATAAACATGTATTTTTGCTTTGGTTTTATTTTAGTGGCAGCTGAAATATCCTAAACTAATTCTCCGAGAAGCCGACAGTGTATCTGAGGAGCTCCATAAAGAAGTTCAGGAAGCCTTTCTCACACTTCACAAGCATGGCTGCCTATTTCGGGACTTGGTAAGGATCCAAGGCAAAGATTTGCTCACTCCGGTGTCTCGCATCCTCATTGGTAACCCAGGCTGCACGTACAAGTACCTGAGCACCAGGCTTTTTACAGTACCCTGGCCAGTGAAGGATTCTGATATAAAGTACACCGAGGCTGAGATAGCTGCTGCTTGTCAAACCTTCCTCAAGCTCAATGACTACCTGCAGATAGAAACCATCCAGGCTTTGGAAGAACTCGCTTCCAAAGAGAAGGCTAATGAAGATGCTGTGCCAGTGTGTGTGTCTGGAGATTTCCCCAGGGTTGGTATGGGGTCATCCTATGATGGACAAGATGAAGTGGACATTAAGAGCAGAGCAGCATACAACGTAACTTTGCTGAATTTCATGGATCCTCAGAAAATGCCGTACCTGAAAGAGGAGCCTTATTTTGGCATGGGGAAAATGGCGGTGAGCTGGCATCATGATGAAAATCTGGTGGACAGGTCAGCGGTGGCAGTGTACAGTTATAGCTGTGAAGGTACAGTCTGCTCTGGGAAAAAGCAGCCCTGAATGTCACATGACCAGAGTTGGTTAGGCTCTGGAGATATACGTGTATATGCATGTGTGCATGTCTGTGTACCTGTGTGTCATGTGTCCTTTTTAGGCCTGTCTCATCCAGATGTCTGTAGAATAAACCTCTTTCTCAACTAGCTGTGCTGTTCAGCTCATTGTTATATTGTACTCAGAATATTTTCACGTGTAAGCATTACTGTCATTTTGTCTTTCCCATGCCCAGGAGAGCAGCATCTTGGTTTTATATAGCTAATTGCCTTTCTCTAAAACTCAGAGTAGATTGTACAGTTGCTATAATTGACTTGCTGATAAAGGGCTGGGAAAACAAAAATCTGTCAAATCTTTCCAGGTTCCCACAGGTGCACATTTCCATTCTTGCCAAAATATTTTATTGTGGTTGACATCACTATCTTGGTGGGTGTGATTTCTCAAAAAAGGACTTCATATAGTTTTTACTGGTGCCCTTCCCTGCTAGAAGCAATTGAGGTGGGCTTTGCAAGCAGATGGCCTTCTACTTTTAGGAAACTTTCTAGCCTTCAGTTTTAGACTGCATAGGATTGCTATGGTGAACTTGTTCTTGCATTTCTGAAATCTGGTCCCCTGGGGATAGAGATCACAGGCTATCTTTTATTGGCCTACCCAAGTTTTCCTTCTTCTGTTGTTCAGTTTGTGTGTGTTTAGGGTCCCCATTGTTTCTCAGAACAGGATTACAAAAAAGCTGTTTGGACACATCAAGGATAGCATGACTATTGCAACTTTCTTCTTTGTCTGATTATTTGACGAAGGAATACAAGACGTAGTATTAGCTTTTCTATCTGTTTTATGGAAAGATGTTTGGAAAACCAGAGTTCTAGATATCCCATCAGTGAATGATCTGGAACTTCTAAGGGTTGTTGTTTTCTGACAATTCTAGTTGTTTAATTGGATTTTATTGTTGTTACTTGTTTTTATTTTACTGAAATGACTGTTTCGGGAAAAGGATTTAAGGAAAAAACTCATGGTTCTCTTTAAATTTCTTACAATTTCCCAGTCTCAAAACTTTCCTCAGGACAACTAATATCTCTTCTAACTTTACCTTATGTCTTCAAAACAAAGCATGTTATGTTCCAAAACAAGGAACTCGTTTAGTGGTTGGAAATTTCACCAATTTCTCTGGCATCTCAAATAATATTGACCTGCAAAAATCGCTTGAAGGGATTCGATGGCATCCTACTGGAAAGAATTGAGATCCTCTAATCTTTAGTAAGGCCTTGCAAGGGACTTAAGGACTGTCACATCCAAGAACTCTGATGTGTGCGAACAGCAGAGTTTGTTAGTTTCTTTCTCAAGGAGACAGCTCTCCGAAACTGAAGCGGTGGTATGTGATAGCACAGGCTGCTACAAAGAAGTCTTTGTGCTCCCACTTACTCTAAGCCCTACAGTTTAATAGTCCTATTGTACTTCCTTTGCATGGGTGATCAAGTAGTTTTTGAAACCTAGAATATCTCTTAGAAGGGAATTTAAATTTTTAATAAATAGAGTTCTATGGTCAGGAGAGGTTAAGATTGTTAAAGTACACAAATATAAATTATATATAAATACAGAAATGTTTATATTTGCAATTTCACCTAGAAGAGAGAACTGCAGAATTTGAATCTGTCAGAACAGTGTGATTCCTTTTTTCTCTTAACCCCTGAAATTCCCAGAACTCTATCTAATAGTAATAACACCTGAGATTCCCATAACTCTATCTAATTTTAAAAAGTATTATTATTTTTATGTAATAATAACTCTAACAACAATAATAATAATAGATTCCCAGAACTCTATCTAATAATAATATCTAATAACGATATTATTGAGCATCTACTATGTGCCAGGCCTTTTGTCTCACATGTATTAACTCATTTTATCTTCACAACAACCCAGTGAATGAAGTAATGACAAAGTATTAATGTTATCCTTGGTTTACAGATGAGGAAACTGAGGCACAGAAGGATGATTAACTTTTTTATTATTATGTAACTAGTGATTATCAGAGTTAGGGACTGAACTCAGACATTCTGGCTTCGGAGTCTTAACACCTCAGGCCATATGCCTTATGAGCAGGTATTTCCTATCCCAGCAGTGTAGCTGTCTCAGGGATTTGGGTTTTTAAAATGTCCACTTTCTGGAAAGGCTAAGGGAATGTTCTACTTGTTCTTCCTTGGAGGTCCTGAGACCTTTCTTCCTCCCTCCAACCTCACTTCTTCCCCCAAGTCTGCTATAGCTTTCTAGCACATACTCTCAGATGACTGGAATGCATTAGACTGGCTTATTTTTTGAATCAGAACCTCTTTCTACCTCTCTGGCAATGTGTGTGGTTTTGGGTCAGATGGTGTACAAAGCATGTGCTTTGGAACTCTCTAGCAGGTGTATTTCTTCCACGTGATTTCTTCCACGTGATATATTTAGTTCTCTTGCCTCCTTATAATCCAGCCAGAACTATGGTAGGGTGGACTTGAGGAGAACCATTTGGGATAAAATCATGGTGAGAATTGGGAAGCACTTAAGTGGGCAACAGAGAGTGAAAACTTCAGGGCCGGCCCGTGGCTCACTCGGGAGAGTGTGGTGCTGATAACACCAAGGCCACGGGGTCGGATCCCATATAGGGATGGCCGGTTCGCTCACTGGGTGAGCGTGGTGCTGACAACACCAAGTCAAGGGTTAAGATCCCCTTCCCGGTCATCTTTTAAAAAAAAAAAAGAGAGTGAAAACTTCAGGGCCGGCCCGTGGCTCACTCGGGAGAGTGTGGGGCTGATAACACCAAGGCCACGGGGTCGGATCCCATATAGGGATGGCCGGTTCGCTCACTGGGTGAGCGTGGTGCTGACAACACCAAGTCAAGGGTTAAGATCCCCTTACCGGTCATCTTTTAAAAAAAAAAAGAGAGTGAAAACTTCAGAGAACTGCACTGTTTTCCATGTGTCTTTGAACATGTTTGTTGAACAATTGCTATGGGAAGTTTCAATTAGCTATTCTAGACAGTGTGGGAACTCCAAAGGTAACTCATAAGTCCTCCTTGCCTTTAGAGAATAGGCAAGGGGAAAGTGTGCTCTTGTGATTATAATTATGAAATGAGGGAGCATTAGATCTGGAAGAGATTTTTGAAATCACCTAGTTTTTAGCCTTTCATTTTGTAGATGAAAACACTGAGGCAGGGAGAAGGGAAGTGGCTTGCCCAGGGTCCCATAGTTACTTAGTGACAAGAGTTGGGGTATAAGGCGGAGAGTGTTGCTGCCACTGGAGAGGTTCACGTAAAATGCATCGGGAGTTCTGATGTAGAAGGGATTGTTTCCTGCTAAAATTAAATGCAACTGGAGCTTAAGATCTTTCAGGACTTTGCTCTCAATACCTTTTCTGAGGGAAATCTTCCTGTAGATTTATAATGAGTCAATCATCCTTCTTTGGTTTATTTTCATGAGTAGAGGTCATTGAGAAGTAATTTGTATAGGATATGTGTAATTATATACTAAATTCATTGGCTTTCACATGCAGTTCTAGTTAATAGATATCTCCAGCAGGAAGATTGAAATGGTACAATTTTTAATCAGGAATGGCTTTGGGGAACTGTATGTAAATAGGCAGAGTATTTGATTTTCCTATTCCAGCTTTTCTGGCAATTGCTGGTTACCCCTAGCTATAAAAAATGAATTTTAGCAGGGAAGGTATTAAAAATCCGTTGTTTAATATGGTCCAACACCTTGTTCTTTGACTGGAGCACCTTCAAAAACATCACTTAGATAAAAACTTTTAGTTACCATTTTTCTTTCTTTGGAAAGAAACTTTTTCTGTGACATTATCTTTATAGTAAGAGCAATTCTTGAGACTTTTAACTAGTGCCAAGTATTGCAGATTGCCTACATTATGAGTATTTTCCAGGCCTCCCATGAAGGGCCAAGGAGGCTCACAAAAGGAAGAGGCCAATCCAGGTTTCCTGTGATAAGCTAGAAAGTAGAGACTTTGCAATAATTTTCTTGGAACTCTAGGATTCCCATTCGTGTTTTTGATTTGGGCAAAGTTGAATCCCCTTTAGGATGGAAATTTGTTCCTATTCTTGAATCTCTATTTTGAAATGAGTAGCTCTATATTCCTTAGCTCATCATTGAGACTGTGAAAAGGTTAGGTTGGAATTGTAGCTTGCAGTTTTGGAGGATTCATAATTTTTCAAAATGCTATGATATTTAATGTTTTTCTTAGACTTGCAGCATCCCCATTGAAGGTCTCAAATTTCATTTGACCTATTTTTTTTTTTTTATTGTACCATGCCATGTCTTGTCAGTTTATACTGCTGAAGTCATTTATACTGCTCAGTAAAACTAATTTGGTCTTATAAGTCACATTTTTTTTTTGCTCCCATGCATTTATTTATTTATTTATTTAACAATTCGCATCTACTGTTTGCCAGGCACTCTTCTAGATGCTGGGTGTATAACAGTGAACAAAACAGACAACAATTCCTGCCCTCATAGGACTTACATTCTGGCAGGAAGACACAGAAAATAAATAAGTAGATTATATAACAAGAATGAGGGACAGGCTTGAATTTTAAATAGGGAAGTCAGTAAATTCCTCATTTAGAAGGTAACATTTGGGGCTGGCCCAGTGGCGCATTGGAGAGTGCGCTGCTTGGGAGCACGGCGGCACTCCCGCCGAGGGTTCGGATCCCATGTGGAGACCGGTTCCTGCTCACTGGCTGAGCGCGGTTCGGGCGCAACACCGAGGGTTGCGATCCCATTGCCGGTCAGTAAAAAAGACAAAAAAGGAAAAAAAAAAAAAAGAAGGTAACATTTGAGCAAAGACTGGAAGGAGAGAGTGAGCCACTCGGAAATTTGAAAGGGGAACAGTTTAGGTCGAGGGAACAGGGAGTGCAAAGACTGTGAGATGGGACATGATTGGGATATTTCAGAAGCAGCAAGTGTGGATGGAATAGAGTGAGAGAAGAGG